AGTTGTCCCCGCTCGCCAGTCTCCACACCCAACTCATCTTCAGTCCTTCTGTCACCAATCATCTTCGGTCTCACAGCAAGCCTCCTCTTCAGAGCCACTCACCCCGTTCCGTCAGAGCCCGACCAAAGCCTGCAGAGCCCAACACCTCCTCTCTCAAACTCAGACCTCAACATCAAGCAAGCCAAGCCGTCAGACCCGAACCAGTCGTGACAATCAACTCATCTCCCATCTCGCAGAAATCAGCCGAGCTCACACCTCTGCAAGCCACAGCGCTACTCACCAGAACAAGCAAGCCTCCTCTGTCAGAGCCCAACACCACAGCCTTGTTGTCCCTGCCCACCATTCTTCACACTCCAACTCATCTTCCATCTCACATAAAGCATCCGATCTGGGTACCCCAATGCCATGGGGCGTATGGGCATGATTGGGTAACTGAGGCTGGCACGGACCCAGTTTTCGTCCGCGCTCAACTCATCTTCGGTCCCAGAAAAGGCTTTCTGTCAGAGTCTAACACCAAAGCCCTTCAGCGAGCCAAAGTCGCGAGTGTCTTCCGTTACTCACTGCCAGCCACAGGGTTGATTTTCCTTGGTCACCAGCCATCTTTGTCGCGCAGCGCCTCCTATCTCAGAGCCAGAGCCCCATTGGCCAATCAGCGTTGTTGTCCCTGCTCACCTTCGGTCTCACAAAAGACCTCCTATATCTCGGGAGCTTCGTGTGAACAAGAGCATGGTGACGACCGGGTCCCTGCTTATACCAATCTCCACGCTCAACTCATTGTCTGTCTCTTGCAAAGTCGCATTCGGTTCTTCATACAAACTCAGAAGCCTCCTCTCTGCAAACTCCAAGCCTCCAGCTGCCGGCCAAGCCCGAACCACCGCAGACCTATTTCCACACTGCAAGAACGCCAGCACTGTGGCTGCGGATGTGACTCGGAGTCGGCGAACCAATTCAGCATAAAATCTTATTGGGCTAACAGGTTCACGGTTCAGGGGACAAGTGTTTCAAGAAGCTGCTTAAGAGGTTGGTCTTTGAGCCTGGTCCATTCCACTGAGTTTGCTTGTGCAACCTGCTCGTCCGTATAGTCTGTGCAAAACCTTGCCTCAGCCGGTGTATATATATATATGTATGTACGGCGCCATCTGCTCTGATACTTGGAGGCGCAATCAATTTGTGACATCATCAATCCAATTGCAGGATTTAGGGAAGGCCAATGTTGCGCTGGGTTCTTTGAAGCTTTCATCGGCGCAGTGAAAGGGTTGGTCTGTGAGTCTGGTCCATTGCACACGTGATGGCAAAACCAGGAGAGTCCAACCTGGCAAGTGCCCAACTTCGCTTTGTGCAACAACAGTACCCTGTATTTTGAGTGATCCCCACACCAAGGTGTGATCAGGGAAACAAACGGGTACAGGCATCGATAGACAATCCCGGCATATGATGTGACCCTTGTTCTGGCATCAAGTCTGACCTGCGTCCTGGCATTAATCCTGACATATGTTGCAACATGTAGTCTGGCATGGCTTCGGGTAATGCAACCCGACAACACTTGTGGCCCAGAGGGGTGTGGCGAAAGCTAGGCAAAGAAACAACGCTGGGGCTCTTTAATGGCCAAGGGAAAAGGAGAGTGCCAACAGCGCCCCCCCAATACGACCCCAACACAACCAACACATGGCAACACACAACCACCCCAGCAACCGCAGCAGCAGCAGCAAGCAGAAGCTACCAAGCAGCAGCAGAAGCAGCAGCAGGAGTAGCTAGCAAGCAGCAGCACCAGCTACCAAGCAGCAGCAGCAGCACCAGCTACCAAGCAGCAGCAGCAGCTACCAAGCAG